CTCATTGCACCCTAGAGTACAGAAGCTATGGGCAACAGGACATCTAGCTGCTATCCCACTGGATGGGGCTAAAGGTCACCTGGCAGCAAAGGAAAGGCAGACAGTGCAGGGAAGGAAATTTAGCCCAGTGAAGGAGACTGGCACAAGGCATCAACAGCAGCAAAAAGAACAGGATCATAAAGGTCAAGACAGAGAAAGACAGTGAGATTTCCATCTGAGATTTCCATTCATTAACTTTACATCTGAGCAGGATAAACTTTTCAAAGAACATGCCTCACCACATGAGTTTAGGGTTTCAGTGTTAAGGACTAAAAATGATTGGGACCTGGAAAGCTCAGACCTACCCAAGTCACGGTTGCCTCAAAAGTTAGATACAGGTTGAGTGTCAAAACTTGAATATTTGCTTCACTCTATAATTAAACAGGGTAGGTATTTTCTCATATGTTATTAGCAAACTGCAGTGTGAGATGAACACTTTGCAAACCTAGAAAACTCATTGGAATCATGTTGTCCATCTTAAAATGGGACCTGTTTTCTTCCATAGCACATCTGCTGCAGGGATACATATTTCTATAATTTAAATCCTTTATCTGAAAAGACCAGGAAATATTTGAATTCAGTGAGAGGAAATGATTTCAAAGACAACTTGGTAGCTGCTTAAAAAAGAACCACAGAGCACACAAACATGCGAACAACCAGTGCTGGAGAAAGGAGAATAATGCACGATAATTATTAAACAGAGAAAGTTTCTAGGTAAGTAAAACCCAAAAAGGAAAAAACACCATCACCCAGACAGAAAGTAGAGTTGAACCAGCATGAAAAATACCAGGTAACATTTTCTTTCTCTCCTTTGTAAAAATCAGGAAGACTAAATCAGAAGAAATAGGCGCTTTCAAACTGCTTTACTTGTGGGGGGGGAATTTTGTTTGTTATTGTTGTGCTTTTTTGTTTGCTTGTTTTTTGTTTTGTTGTTTTTGTTTTGCATTGTGAGACAATTTACTTTAAAGGCTAAGGGTCAGATAGTGGAGGTTGAAGAGAGGTGTAAAAGGACTAGTTTTCTTATTTGCAGAGATTTTTTTGAAGTAACTTGGCTTTACAGGCTCCAGACTCTGTGCCAGCCACAGTACTGAGCTAAAGGTGAGTGTTGCTTCAGGAAAAATAGAGAAGTCCTGCATTCTCTCACAGTTAGCAACAGCCCTGGGTAGCCAGAGCAGCTCACTGCTCATCACTTAGCTCTCTTGCAGGGTTTATCTCAACTAGTGAATGTGCAAGAACTGCAGATTACATTGCCTATAATGGAATTTAACCTCTCGTGCAAGTTAACACATTCAGAAACACCCTCAGCTTTTTTTTCAGTTGAGGATTAACCCTCAGCAGTCATCTGCAGCTCCTCTGCAGCAGGGTCTCCTAAAGATAGATGCCCGACATTACAGGGAGAGTTCTTGCAGGAGGTTCCCAGCATACCACATGTTGCAGGGCCTTTCCCCAGTTGTCAAGGAGGGCAGGGCTGCCAAGGGTTGGGAGAAGGAGGCTTCATTTATAGCTAGTTTTAGGTCATTCCTGGTCCCAGTAAACATTTGCTTGGCACAAGTCCCTGTTGCAAGGAATGTGAAAAACTAAGACGCCAGGGCAGTGAGCAGGATGGGGAATAAATCATCAGAGTCAGAGGGTACAAAGCACTACCAGCAGCCTGGTTCCTGGTTTTCACAATGAGGTGGGCAGCCGGATGCAAGCATGGCACATAATGGTCACTGTACATCATCCATGAACCAGCAAGGTAAATTAAAATAGGGCCTGAGAGAGTCTGTGCAAAGAGATCTCATGCAGAAGACATTAAAGGAAAGGTGGAAAGCGTAGGAAAGCCTGTTGGAAAAATGGGCTCAAGACACAAAATACACAAAGGCAGCTCCCCCATTGCTTCATTGCCTGAAGGAACAGAGGCCTTCAGTACCCTCAGCCACAAACATTTGGCGGTGTGAAAAACACCAGGTTACATTTCTGACTGCATGGGAAAGCAGCAGATGAGGATGTGGGATTCTTGTTGGCTTGGAGACCACACTACTCCATCATGTCTGAACAGAGGACGCTTCTCAGCGAGGCTGATTTCTCAGAGCTGGGAATATTACAACAAATTAATAATCCAAAAATACGTTTGGTCACTCTATGGGAGAATTGAAATGCATTTTTATTTCCAAGAGACATCTGCGAATAATCACTCCTACAGAGAACAAATACACAGAGAAAATCTGCAAACAAACCATACTGCTTCCACCTGGAGATTTTTCTTCATTATATCTTATCAGGATGTCTTAGTTCAGTAGTTTTCATGCACATGTGCATATTGCCTGCTCTGAAGACCACATACATCCATATCTTTGGGAAGCAATCCAAACAGCTGAGAATGACCAAGATTTCTTTACAAGTCTCAGGTGACACATAAACCTGTTTGCCACCATTCCTGTCATGGACTCCATCCCTTCCTCACCCTCTCCCTGGCATCCCAAGGAACTTGCAGGAACTGGAATCAACCTTTGGAAGCTGAAAAACAAGAAAAAGCTGTACAGGATTTTTCATTACCCTGCTCAACATCATTCTGCCATCAGTCCAGTCTTCTCCTTCCTTCTTAGTTCAGGCCGGATAAAGCTGGAATTTTCTGGTTGCACTGAGGCATGTTTGGCACCTTTGCATAGATCCACCACTGCCTGGATCACTTATTCACTGCTTTTATTTTTTGAGAACATGAATCACGAAGTGCAGTGGGAGGGAAAGGCTTAGGAAGCAGAAAGCAAATGTGAAGAACCCAAACTTAATTGACTTGAGCTACCATTTATGTAATAGGTCAATGATATCATTTGCAACTGGTTGGAGCAGTTAAGACTGCAATAGTCTATTTAAAGTAATTTCAGTTTCTTTTCTCCTGCAAAATTTTGCAGCATTTCCCCCTATACTGAGTACAGTGGTATAATCACACCACATTTAAATGTAGTAGAAAGCAAGAGACATCTGTGTCTTGAACCAAAGATCACAGGAGGAAAATAATATTTGAACTTACCTGCTTCTGCAGACCTAAAAGTTTTTTCCAGGCTGTATCTACAGAGACATCCGTATGCAGAAGGCACTGCTAGCCTCTAGAAAGTCCCATAGCCAGTTGTTTCACTCATTTGCAAAGCTACTTGAGTTTCAGAAATACCTCTAGCAAGAGGCCCTTACGCAGGAGTGCATCTGTCCACGATGGCTGCCGTGACTGAGGAGTTACTGGAGTGTTTTGGCCAAGCAAAGGCAGAGGCCGTGTGCCTGCATTGTCCCTACTCCCCCATTTCTCTTCTCTCTGCTGGTTGCAGTTGGCAGGCATTTGCAGTTCATGGCAAGTAGAAGAGAACTCAGTCTTTGCTATTGCTCCTTAACTTGGGCAGATGCTGATTCTCTTTGGATTTCTTTACATTGAAGTGTTACTGTTACAAAAAAACCCAACCCTACCACCAAACTACCCCCTCCTCCCCTTCAAAAACAAACTCTAACTGCTGACATCACATGGTTTACATGGTCTGTTCATGACTCATGTCTCACAGAAAAAGTGAAGACTAATTTCCTTACGGAATTTCTGAGAGTCCAGGGTCTCCAAGACAGTCACTACCCCACTGAACCAAGGGAGTGGCAGAACCATGAGGACTTCCAGTTCTGAAGGCACACTCATATAGAAAACTTCTATGTTGCAGTTACCCATCTCTTCCTCAAGCTGTTTGTCCTTATATTTGCCTTTTTCTCTTCCTGAGCACTCTAGCAAAGGACTATTCAGAGTTTCTGTAGCACCATGCATCAGGATGGCATTGCGGGACATTAAAGCCTGCCTTTGTCCCCACCCCAGACATCCCAGATATATCCCTTTATTATTTCCCCTTCCCAAACACACAATCTTGAACAAGAGAAAAAACTCACTTCCACTTCTTTTTAATTAGTATTTTGGTGAGTATACAAAAACAAAGAATCAAGGCAGATGGCAAGTGTCAGGACCTGAACCAGTATAACTTCTGAAGGATTCATCTTAAAATGCTCTATAGGCACATATTTCTCATGATATATTTAACTACTGAAGTGTTCACTAGGAAAGACAGCAGGTAAGTCTGGGCCAAAGTAAGCAGCCTCTGTTGAACTGACTGAGAACTGTAAGTGCTGATGCAAGGACTGGATTTGGTTCAGTTAGCTCCTTGTTTGCATTTTCCAGTGCCATTATTTGCCTTTTGTCCTACCTGATCCAGGAATGTGGAAGGGGAATTACACAGAATATGTAACCATATACATACAGGTAGCTGAAGTAATAAGCACAATAAACTAGGGGCATGGGACAGCCACTTTTGCAAAGCCAACAACAGCACAGGACTTTGTATTCTGCATGAATTGTAGCCTGTAGGTGTGTGAAATCTTGTATGAAGTACGGAACAGCTTTTTGATGGAGTTGCTTTTTAGCAAGTGGAGATTTTCCTGGACTGGCACTTCTGAAGGTAGGAGTACATGCAGTGGTTTCATCAGCAACAGGAGGTAGGCTCGCTTATAGGCAGCATATTGCTGAGGAGTGAGCTAGCCTCTTATTGGGCTTGACTAGCAACACTTTTTCTCTGTGACGTTTTTACTGCTGACACACTTAAACTCTCAGAAAATCTGCCTTATTCTAAGGTAAGGGGTGACAGAGATCAGGAAAAGAAGTTGAACAATATATATTAGAGAGGTCTGCAGTCTTCTCCCTTGCAGCATCCATCTTTATTGGTCACGGGAGGTTACAGTTTTGGTCACATAGCCCTTGCAGGAGCTTTTAGCATTACAATTTAAATTCAACCTAACTTTTTAGAGCCGTGTTTTTGCAGCAAGTATATGTGGACATTTTCTTCAGTGATATCATCAGAGAAAATATCAGATCACTTCTTATCTTATGCTCCAAGGATTTCCTGCACCGTGAAAGGATTGTGCCTCAGCCAGGAGACATGAAGGCTGCAGAACAAGGGGCAAGGAGGGACAAGAAGATTCTTTCCTGCAGTCAGTTCTGTGTGTCAGGTTTTGGAGGGGCAAAAATATATATATGGGAGAGGTAGTGGGAAAACTTCAGATCCTCCATGGCACGAGGAGAATGGAGCAGGAGACAAATGCAGTTTCACATGGCATTCCAGGACAGCGCTGAGTACACCGGGCCTTCAGTATTCAATTCCACTCCAGTAGAACATGGTACCAAGGAGGACGCAGAACTGAAAAGACAAGACTACTAAGTTTCTTTGCTCCCCATTTCCTTCTCTCCAGCTCTCCCCATTCCCATTTAGTCCTATTGCTAGGAGGGACAACAGAAATTCTTGAAAAGCAAAGCTTGTTCAGGCAGAGGAAGCTTAAATTTCTTTATCTGCACAGAAACTATAGTGAAGAAAGAAGATATGTGTACCTGTAACTATTTGACTCTATAATTTGTCTTACTGGGGATTATCTCTCATGAAGCTGCTGAACCCTGAGTACTTAAAACACTTATACAAAATCTTCAAACTACAAACTGAATTATCTATCATGATTGCTTCTTAGATGATCCAATACCCTTCACAAACAAGTATCTGCAAGTTGTGTTTGCCGAGTTGTATTGTTGAGATGGCAGCAGGACACATCAGACTAGAAGGCCATCTAGTTCCTCACCTCTGGAAGCCAGAATGGAGGGGAACTTGTAAATGTAGCAGTTAGTGGAACAGGCTACAGGCAGATTGGTGATGAATGAACATGATAATCTATGGACATTTTAAATGCATCAGTCCTGTCATCCACCTCCACCCAGCTGGGTGTGGAATACCAAGAAAAGAGAAGAGGAAATAAAGGCAAATATTAAGTACTTACAGTCCAGCAGAGGATGGCAAAACCAAACCAGGCAACACCCCAGGCATGTGTGTTCACTGGCCCAGAAATAGCATCATAACAACCCTGTAAGACAACCAGGGATGACTCAATACCAGTTTTGAGCTTTTACTGCAAGGCAACAAGCTTATCCACTTCTGAGAGAGACTGAAGTGACATCTTCCTCTCCTGCAATTTGGGGACCTCATAGGGTCTGAAAAAACCAAGCCAGAGCTACACAGCTTATTGACAACTTGCGAATAACCTACCTGTTTCTAGCTCCAAATGCAAAAATCTATCTCAGACACTTCAAGGACAACTTCCTGTGCTATCCACTTGCCAAGTTCAGTTAGATAACCAAACACAGTTGACACAGAATTTACCTCCAGAGTTAAGAAGCTTTGGGCAAAATCGGATGCTTGAATGCCTTCTAGAAATGCATGCTAGTGCAAAAGCTGATGCTCATGACCCAGCAACCTATTTAAATAGATTAGTTGCTGGTCTACTGTAAAGTTCTACCTTGAAGAGGAGAACTGCTGATTTGCTCGCTCATATTATATGCACTCATCTTTGGGCTAAGTTCGATTTAGCTGCTGTCCATCTACATGTTGTGGATGTCACTTCTTACTGGTGGCATTGGGAGAGTTTTCTTAATAGTTCTCTATCCATCAAGAAAGTCTTCATCCTAAAAAAACACCCTGTCCTGTGTTCAGCATCATGGTCAGGCACTTTTTCTCCTCCAAAAAACTTTTGAAACCCAGAGTTTACAGTAGCGGAGAAAGGCTATTCATGGTTTCTTTCCCTTCCAGAAAGACACTGTTGACTGACATACATTAACTGAAAAAAGCAGGGGTGATCTTACATTGCTGTTGTAATAGCCAGGGACTCCAAGTTTGCAGCCATCAAGGTTGACGGGAAGCCCTTGGGTATTCATGGCACAGCATTGTCGTGGCCAAGGGAAGTCGGCATCGTCGTGTGTGGCGCGGAAGGCAGACAGGTACTCCTGCCAGTCAGAGGGGCCCAGCACCCCACAGCAATGGTTCTGCAGGGGGAGAGAAGAGAATAGTCTTTATGGGCCCAGGCCACAGCCCTGTGCATGTCTGGATGCTGCACTTGGCTGGTTAGGCATTAACTACAGATTTATGGGAGAGATTTTTGAAGTGCCTGCCTTTGACAGACTGTCATCTGATAAACAAGCAAAAGGGGGAGTGTGTCAGAACTTTCTTTAAGGTTCAAGGCAGATGCCATCCTCTTTATTACTGAGTGGCCCCAAGAAGGACTTGAAATTCCAGACCTGCAGAGCATTTAGTAATTACTGACTTTACAGTGTTATCATTACCTGAAGCATGAGTTTATCCCATGTCTTCGTGAACCCTTCAGTCATCCATTTGTCATTGTCATTAGCTGGGTTTGCCTTTTGATACCTCTCCAGCATTTGCTTCAGGAAGAGATTTGGAGTGAGCTACAGAAAAAAACAACAAAGTTGGTTGATGGAAAAACAATGTAAATAAGCGGCCATGTAAAGAAAATATAGGGTTATTTGGGGAGGGTTTGTTTGCTTATTTCAGTGTCTTGCTGGAAAACAGGAATGCTGCCTCTTCCCTGGTTTTACACAAAAGAGAATAAAGAGCAGGATTTGAGGACCAGGAGCAAGAAAGATACAGATCTTAAACAGGCACTACCAGATGTCAGACCACAGGATATGTGCAGAAGCTATGGGTTGCATTTGATATGTTGCTTGGAACTAAAGTACCACAGATCATTTTGCTCCCCACCAACGTCTTCAATAACCCATGTAATCTTTCCCTCACTACTAACACTGCCTGGGGCAATACTGAAGATTTGTCTTTGCTGTGTATGATAGATTAATCAGCCCATAGCTGAAAGACTAAACACTGTATTGATGATTCAGCTAGCCCACGCTATTTCTTCCTTAACTGCAAGGCTGTAAACATTTTTAAATGTTAAAAATAACAAAACTATGTTAGAAAAAACAAAGTTATTCCTTGATTAGAATAATGATGTTGGAGTCTTTCCCTGTAGGGCTGTCTTCTGCTTAGCAGTAGTCCTATGAGTTTACACCATACTATCACATAGGTCATTTACTATACTGAACAGGACAAGTGTGTGCCCTAGAACTGCATTTCCCAGTGCAGTTAAAAGAATACATCAGAAAAGAAATACTCACGAAGTCTCGGTGAGTTGCTGCTGTGATACAAGAAGCCATTTCAAATGCAAAAGTGATCAGCATCAGAATGATGTACTGTGGGAGACAGAGAGCAGAGTTAGTTCTTAGAGAATCAGTTATGTATTTTTTTCAAGATTAAACCTGAAACCCTACTCAAGGCAAAGGCGTCCAGTCTATCATAACCTCTTCAGTCCTCTCTGGACCCCTGAATGTTCATGTAGCCCTTCCCTGTGCTTGTTTCAATTTGCAATCTGCTTTCTTGAAGGTAAATGACTGGAATTGCTCCCCATCTCACAGATAAGATTTCATCAGAACCTCAGGGCATTAAGACTACCCTGCCTTTATGGAAAATACTCTGCCTGATATGTCCTAGAATAACATTTGCCCTTTTTTTTGTTGCATCTCATTTTCAACCTGTGTTTGTGTCATGTCTTCTCCTTCCACTTGACAACTACAGGCTTTGCAGCAAGAAGCTGTTCACTCCTAGCAGGAGAACTTGTACTTTGGGGAAACAGAAGGTGCAATTTAGGGTGTCATTCAGATCCTCTTGATTTTTCATCATCAGGTTTCCTTAACACTCCTACATTGTGAGCAAAGATCCTTCACGAAAACAGATTCCAAGGGTTGTTTCTCATAGTCTATTTCATATTCTATTTCACTCCTTCTTTTCCCTTTTCAGCACAATCCCTTTAACATTTTCCATATTCCCTTTGGAGTTCTCTTGTGTCTATTTCTCCTCTCACATTTTATAATGTTCATCTCTGATTCAAGTTTCCTTTTTTCCCCTAGCTTCTGTCCCTTGTGCCCTCTCATATCTCCTAAATCAGAGCCTTGGGATTTAGCCAAGACACCAAAATTCAGAGTTAAGGGAATTCTATTTCCTCAGCTGTTTGCTGGCAAATTCCCTGGCACAAGAATTCAGATCTCTGAGTACCTCTTGTCTAAAACAGTCAGACTGCCACCCCACAATAATCCAAGGGAGAGCTGATTGCAGAGTTTTCAGCTCCACCTTTCGTTCATACAAGCATCAATTAAGTTTTGCCACTAATGTTTTGCCTGACCAAAGGACTAAGTAAGACACTGTACAAAGATTTGTTCACATCTTAACATTGTCCTCGGCTTATCCAAATCTCTGTCCCCACCCCTGTAATTTCTGCCTGCCTGCTGATGTCTAATATTCTCAACTGCATCCATATTTGGTATACTGACACTTACTAATGCCTTGTACAGAAGTCATTACTTATCAGCTCCTTAACTGAATGGTGTATGACAGCTGAAAAGCAATAAGGGGTGGGGAGAAACAAGGATCTAAACCACATCCCAGATAGATGTGATTGCACAAATGCTTCTGCATTGCTTAAGGGCAAGGTCATGGTCAAGCCAGTCAGCTTAAACCTCCACTGTGGTCACCTCCATCCATTCCCTCAGCCTGGTTCAGGAGCTTCTCATGCATGCATCTTCGCAGGAGTCACCTTCTGGGACACCACAGGCTGTGACCAAGAAGAACCTTTGGCTCCTCATCACTATAAAAGCTGTCTTTGCTCATTGGTTGATTACTGAGGTGATCAGGGAAACTAAGGCAGCATTTGTTCAGTTTGGTAACAATAGGCAGGCAAACTTTGGTATACTTACCACCAGCAGCAAGGTCCTGTCGGACTTAATGATTCCAATGATACCAAGGATAGATAGAGCAAACAGTGCAAAGCCAACAAAGATGCCAATCCAGGCAGCAGCATAGATGTCATTATTTTCTGTGGCTTCCAGCAGAGGGTAGAGACCATGTGGATCAGACACAAAGTAGATACATTCTGCTGTCAGGGCAATGCCACACATCTGAGAAGCACAAGTTTGGGAAATCCATTAGATCAAGCTTCCCCAAAGAAATAGCAGAGACAGAAGCAGGCGTAGACTGCTTTCCCTTCATTTGATTTCCTGAAAAATGGGAGCTACTCAACTCCTCCTCTGCCCAGCTCTACAATTTCTTGTATTGTGACTTTGGAGAAGAACTGCAGGCAAATCTCACCCAGCCCAAACCTGAGAGGTCTGGCCTAGGACTTGAGGATGTTGTTATGAAAGAATGAACAGAACCATTCCATCATTATATGGAGGGAGGTGGCTGGAGAGATGTTAGTCAGCTCCTGATGACAGTTCTAGGACTCTTCCCCTAGAACTTACCTTGGTCTTCTGGATCAGCCCCTGCTGTCCCTTCCCACCAAACTGATCATCTAGGACAGCTCTCCTTTTCCTCTTCTCTCACACTTTACTAGACTATTTATGTGTGGACTTCACACATGAAGAGGGATTTCATGTCTTAGAACTGCTGTTCTTAAGAAGTGTCATATTGGAAGGAAGCCTCCACCCATACTTGTTCCACTTCACTTACCCCAATGACCACATTCCCAAAGACTAATAGACCCTGCAAGATGTGTATGCAGTCCTCACTTTTTGCCATCTTTAATTCTTCATGCAACCTAGGGAGAACCAAATACAGTCCTCAATTAGATCACCAGTACAATACAGTTCACATAGAAATAGAAATTATCCTTGAGGAGAGGGATAGATAGAACTTGCCTGTCTGTACACCTCCCACCCCTTGCTTAATAGTAGTTTCAGAAGAGAAACTTCCCCAGGTATCAATCTGGTAACTCAAACTGTCCCCGATACTTGAGCTACAGAAGACTGGGACCACTTTGTGGTCAGCTAGTGTCTTCATCTCTTTTTTGGGTAGGGTTTTCATCATCACAACAGCACCTATGCCAATCTCAGCTCATGGTGTTGCATTTCCACCTAGCCAGAAACACCAGCTACATCTGGATGGACAGTGGACAAGTTCAGCACCCTCACCTCGCTCCTCTTCCAAAGGGAGGGAGGGAGGGAGGAAGGGAGTAGCTCAGGCTGCAGCTGGCTCATGGGAGTCAGGCCAAGTAGCATTCCCACCAAATTCCTGAGAGTGCTATATCCTGCAGTCTGGAGTCAGGTGCCCCGTGTCAAATTCATCCCCTTCCAGAAAGAGGAGCATAAAGGCACTAGTCAGTGGTGTGAGACCTCTTGGAGAAAGAAGCTCGAATGCCAGCTCCTACAAAGTCCTTCTTTCAAAGGGATGGAGCACATGTGTGCATGGAGAGGGGGAGGGAAAACACCCAAACCCAGAGACAGCTGCATTTGCCAGGTGGTTAAGAAAATATAAACCCAGAAACAAAGGCTGAAGTGGGCCCTACTTAAGCAGACAACAGGAAAACCAGCTTTAACGCCCTTCTTCTGCCAGAGTACCTGCACTAGTGTGTCTCTTGCTGGGATCACTGACTCTATGATTCTTCAGACAAGCTGTGGGAATATATATTAGTAGACACAGATGTCAATGAAGGGGACTTTCCTGAGGAACAGAGAATTGGGAGACCTCTCTAAAAATGCCACCTCTTGCCACCTAAGCAGTTGCCCTATTTGGGGTATACAAGACTATCAACAGTGACAGATGGAAAAGGTCACTATCAACAGTGACAGATAGGTATTTCCTACTACTCTTTCTGCAGTGGTTTGAGGGTTAGGCATAAACAAATCTCCAGTGCTCTCACCATTTTATCAGCAGAGCACATAAGTATTTTCTATTTTCCTGTAATAGCATGTTTAGGCATGACCATTATTTCTAGGGTGAGAAGCCATTTTTAGTCCCAAACAGGTGTTTGGAGGCCAGAGAAATATATATGAAACTATATGGCTCTGTATTTGAAAATGGCAGGCTCATGAGGTCAACCTGAAGCTCTGTTGCTGCCAAACTTCCTGACCAGTGAGTATGTCCAGGGGGTCACATAAAATTGTTTTGCAGGTCAAATCTGGGTCTGGGCAATGTTTAGCTACTTGTTCTGCAATATAATGCTGCAGATTCTGCCAAACCTGAGACAGACCCTGCCTTCTACTCATCAGAAATCTGGAGAGATTGCTGCCCAGCTCATGGACCTATGTGCTGCAAACTCCAGAGATTTTAGAAAAGCCTTTGCTTATTGCAGTCTAACAATGACTAAACATGACAAGCCAGGAAGCAGTCCAAAAAGCAAGGAAATCTTTCCTGCTCTAACGCAGGCACTTGAACTCCGACTACCACATGGAAAAGCAGGTCTGCTTCATCTGCCATGTAGATACCATAGTTGAGTGTGAGATGCCTCTTCAGTGTAACAACAGTGCCCACACTTCGAATGTGGGCTGTCCCCCTGGCCCATGCTTTTGCCTCCCCAGAAGCTGGCTTTCTTCTCCTCCTTGGCAGGCAGAGCCCAGCTTACTCCTGCCTCCCCTTGGGCAGCTATTACTGCAGTCACATGAGTTGGAGAAAGCAATCCTCTTCTCCTAGGCTATTGTAGTTGTGAAGAAAACTGGGCATGGTCACCTGCACATAGGTATCAGCTGGAAAGTGGTAAGTTTCTAGTTCTCCTAAACTAAGTCTAATAGGATTGCAGCCTGGAGGGAATCAGAGGGACTAGGAAGAGGAAAAGGGAAGGAAAAGCCTTTACTGTAGATCTAAAAATAAACACTGTAATGATGTTGCCGTATTTCTGTGAATTCTCCCTCTATCTCCAGGTCATTGGCATTGAAAGAGTCCACTTCTTGGTGTCCACTTCATTCCTCTGTGCTATATGTGGCAACTCCTTGTCTGACCCCTTCTGCATTTCAGATGGTCCAGTATCATCATCATCGATGAGAGACCATGCAGGTACTTTGAGGCCATGACAATAGCTGGGCAGCTGGAGAGCCAATCCTTCAACAGACCCCAGAGGAGAAGCTGTGGAAGATCTGGAGTTTTCCACTTACTGCCTGCTCCTCATGCCTCAGAGGGAAGCTCTGTTAAGCAAGAGCAGATAGCACAGCACTTGGTGCAGACACATGAGTACAGAGGCATGAGGCAAACCTTGGCCAACTTGCCCGAGGCAAGCTGCACAGAGATGTGACTCACAAGCACCCCCTGGGTGTGACACTGGTAGGCAGCCCCCCTCCCAACCCCCAGAGACACAGGTGCATCAGCCTCTGCCTGTGGACACAAATGCATTGGGAGGTAGAGGAGCTTTCTTTCTGGGCTGGTTAACATTAGTTTTATGACCCAAATACAGTTTTCTGGGGCTTCCCCGGAGGAAACTAGAGCTTCAGCTGCAACCACTATCCAAAATCTCCACAAGAAGGCAGCCAGGTCCTGGGATTTCAGCCTTGACCTGTTCCTCAGCATATGCTGGAAACCTTGCAATTTAGCTGAGGTATTCAGTTATCACTACCAGAGACTTCATACTCCAAGCAGCTTTAGAAAGGTGTCTGTTGTTCTCGTTGTACAAAAAAACCCTACATCCCTCTTGAAGCACAAACTTCTTCCTCTTTCTGATGGACTGGTCTCAACCCAGACTGCAACTTCTCCCTGCTCCTCTCCACTCAGACTCCTCAAACACTCCTGACACTCCCTGGGTCCAGATGAGCCTGTCAGAGCCCAGAAGCAGTGGTAGCTCTGACTCCCCCTGCCCCTGCTCCTCCACAAGTTGCAGACAGATCTGTTATTTCCATGCCCTTTGAGCTTTCTTGACCTCTCCTCATTTCCTCTACTCACAAGGGCTCTGTGAGACCTGCAGCACAACTGTGGGAGATGAAAAGCAAGCTCCTTTCTCAGATGATGGCTCCTGCCCTTGTGTTTCAGGTGATAACCTCATGAAGGCTTTGAAAGGAAGACCTTCGGTCAGCAGTTTCTGGATTCAAGTGGAATTTGACCTCTGTTGTGCGCCCCTTACACATTGGTCTGGTTGATCTTTTGAAGATCAACTCTATTTCTGTAGATCAATACAGGACTTCAGTGGCTTTACAGATGAATTTCCCCTTTTTAGCCTAGCTCTACGCCATCTCTTGATAAAAAAGCCATGGGATAAGAATTGATTTCGCATTGTCACATGCAGAAGCCAGTGGCATTTTGACTGTCTTGTGTTTTGTGGTACTTGTCAAGCACTGTGACAAAGGGATGTCCAAACCCACCCCTGTGAGTATTATTTGCTTCTACACCCTGCTCTTGGAGGTTTCTCAGCACGGTGGCAGGGCTTACAGGGGCCTCACATCACCCCTTGCTACCTCAGTGTCCCCATGCAGGGCGTTGCATTCCCATCCCCTGGTGCAAGGAGGCAGAGACAAAGGACCAGTTTGCCTTATTACTCATGGGCTCCGCACGCCTTGGCTGAAGAGCTCTGTACCACTCGAGCGCAACTAAGCAAACCCAGCCGTTCCCCAGCAGAAACCTGGTCCTTGCCCATACACCCCTCCGGCACAGAGGCCCGGGCACCACACCTGCCATCCCTTGTGCTCACCCCGCCCTGGGGGAGAGCATGTCTCCACAGGCAGAAGGGAGACGCCTGGGCTAGCCCTGTGTGCTGACGGACATAAGGCACTGAGGTGGAACCACTGCCGGAGGCGCTGTGCCAGTGCCAGCACTGGTGCCATGGGAAGCCTCTGTGAGCCACAGACCTGCCCACACCCGGACCTGCTGTGGAGTCTGATGCATTAAGCAAGAAATTTTTTTTTTTTTTAATTAGCTACAGTGGAAAATTTAGCCCCTAAGGGGCTTAAAAAGAAGATATTTTCCAAGTGCTTGGGTCATTTTCAGAGTTACGCAGGTTTTAAGAGGATGTAATTTAATATGTTAATGATGAGTTGTTTGGACTTTGCTGTAAGAAATCAAATACTTTACAAATATCGATTCATCATATGTTTACTTATTTTAAAGCAAACACCTCCCGCACACACAAACTCATGCACTCCTCCTGCCCCTCCGGACTTTTCCCAATGCTCCACCTACCCCAAAGCACAGCCACCTCTGACAGAGAACTGCTTGTGCGTTAGGAGTCAACCGCACTCAGAAAAGGAAGAGCCAGACAGTTATTCTGTGCTACCAGGAGAGAAAAATAAAGCAAAAACAAAGCTTGGCATCAAGAAGGGGTCAGAGACTAATTAAGTTTCCTTTGGAGAGAGATTACTATGAAATGAAGCCTGTGTGAACAGTGGAATGGGTAAATCATCATCAAGCATAATTACCTCGGAAATAGTGCTGGGAGGTAGGTTTTTCCTCTCTCTCGTATTAGTTCAGCACAGCCAAAACAAGAGGGTTTTTTTTCCTTTCCTATATTCACAAGTGAGGAGGAATTACAAGATTCATCTTCCTCTGCAACATTTTTTCTTTTCTTTTTCTTTTACACTCAGATTTACAACAGGTTTAATTTTTCCATTCCTTCCTACCCAGTCTTTAGGAGAAAAAATGTGAAACAAATTAAAAGAGCCATAGGGAAGCCAGAGGTAAGAAAAATGAAATACTTAATAATTTACTGCAGTTAACTTTATCCAGGTACCAGACTCCCATACACTAAACACAGTCCAGGGACTAAAATAAAAGACATTGAAAATAACAGCTGCCTTTTCTCCTGACAGACACTTATGGCTCACATGCCTCATT